CAATGAGAGCAGGACACCCATAGCTAGGACAAACTTGATAGCATCCTCTGTGAATTTGAATTTCATTGGCTTTGGATACAAAATCGAGCGCACCAATTCGCCCTTGGCTGTTCGGAAGCCGGTGCGGACAACAAGAGCCAAAACAGCTTCGTTGTTGAAGTTTCGGGTTTGAATGACACAAGTTCCGCCGAACAAAACGTGTCGAGACAAGCTTGGTAAATTGAAGCTTTCGTTTTTCCGCTGTCGTTCTGGAAGAGGTGTCTTGGTAACTGGGACGCTTTCGCCTAGAAATAAACGAAAAAATAAGTATGCCTCCAATCAGTCTTTTGGTTGATGTTGTCCATCCAACAAGACTGTTAACTTTTCGTTCGAATTAGCTCCGCATCATAACTGTGCATGCATGTCCGTCGAATTTGTAGCCTTAATTACAGCGTGCGAAAAGCTGCGGAGATCACTGATTTCGGAAGACTTTCTTAGCCATCGCCTAACATACAGTTATAGAATTTTTGAATTGTCACCCATAAAATTTGCCTTTTTGATTTATGATCAATTACAATTTGTTGATAGTATGAGCAGATATGGAATTTGAAAAGATCAGCGTAATTCTCGTTGGAGTAGTTCTCACGCGAGGAGCTCATGGCCAGTATAGACGAATTACATGTTGTGAAATCGATCACCGAAGATTATGGTGGTGACTTTCCAACATGGTCTGCGTTTTACTGAATTTACGAAGAGCGAACACGCTAGTGGAACACAGAAGTGCTTTACCAGACTGATACGTTTAGAGAGTTAAGTGCATGTTCCTTTATTCCGAAAACATGCTCATTTGAGCATGTTTTCGGACCAAATACTTGCCTTCGACGCGGCGAGTATTCGGTCCACTACATCAGCAAAAAACATGCTCAACTCATCACAAAGTGGCCCATTGTGATAGGTGTTTTGAATTTTGGTGAACCTTGACCCTCGATCGCTCGCAGACACACCACAGATCGATAACACTACATGCTGAGTAAAGATTGCTACGGCTACCTGACCCACGCAATTGTTGTTAGTTTCATGCCCTTCGGAAATGGTTCACATCATGTGATTGTTGTTGAAACATACATTCCCTCGGAACGTCATTGATGGATGTAACAAATGGTAAACAAGCCGAAGAACCCATGAGGTCAAACGGGAATGGCAGCGATGGAATGCGATCAGCCCGTGGTAAAGTCACCCACTGGAAGTATCAGGAGAGCTGAGTTTCAGTGCTTTGAACTGTTTGTTCAATTCATGAATTCTTCCGAATAGTGCCATCATTAGAGGAGTGATTGCGTGAAATCGCCTTACCAACTATACACCAAGGTTGCTGTTATCAGACAAACAGGCTGACCGATCTGTGGAAATAAATATTCGAACCAAGAGGTTGGAGGAAACGGTATCGTACCTGTTAGAGTACTCTCATTCACGATGCAATTTCCATTCAACACAAAAGCATCACAGTGCATGGTGCAACCTTTCCGCGGAATTTCGATGATGTCTCCGGGAACCAGCTCAGTTGAGTTGACTTGCTGGAAAGCTGTGAAGTATGAACGAGAGAAACAGGTTACAGACACAAAGGTGGATAATCGGAACTTATTACAGAACATTTGTTAGAAAACATCAAAATGGGTTTTTAACAGCACCACAAGTTGGGAGTTGGTTAGTCACGCTAGTGATGAAGGTTAAATCATGCAGGTAGACCATGTAGGTCATTTGCATCAACTAAGTTCAAAATTTCACTCATCATGGGGGAGCTGTTTTTTACGGACATAATGTTCATATCCATCCGGAGGAAGGCAGAACACTAAAAGTGCAAGGATAGAAAAGAAGCACGTCATAAGTGACGGCAATGGGACAAGAGCACAGTTTACGTTACCTCTGTAAGCCACCTCTGTAGATGAAATGCGTGCCAAAAGCGGTGCATGTGGTGGACATATATAGATCTGCAACAGACGACAGGAACTGAAATGCAAGCACCCCGCTAACCTTGTCACTAGTGTTCTTGTTAGCTGTAGTAAGGATCCGGCTATCTTTCCGATAGCGTAAATTCGAGAAGACAAATCGGTAGCCAATCAGCCTCTTTCTCTTTGGTAATAATAAACGACAGAAAGGTCATTTTTCATTGTTTGATTTAGAACTGGGACGCTCCTGGATTCGGAAGGAACCGCTAAGTAAAGTTTTACGAAGTCTTAGAAACAATATTCCAGGCCAAGGATCACATAATACACTCTTGAAAATGAGCCTGGTGTACAGTTTACAGCAGATAACGCCGACATTCGGTAATCAGATAACGGATGTGAGCGGATCCTTTGACACGTGTACCTTGATGACCGAACGACTTCGAACATCTAGCTCAGTCAGTAAATGACCTTACCGTATTACTGAGCGGATGTTAACCACTCGCAAGCGCTAACGTGAAACGGAGAAGGAGTTTGCAGCGCCTTGACTTTGCATTCCGTCACAAAAGTCCATCGAATTACCCATATACATCAGTGGACAAGCGGATTCGTTAGCAACGATTATAAAACCCCGTACTGGAGGTTGAAAATATGAAACGCAATGGCGTTACAATTGTCTGCGAGAAGCTGCTGCTTACAGAGGCGAAAAATAATGGTTCAAAAGAGTTGTAAATGTTCAGATTCGATCAATTGATTTCACTGCGACAGGTGGACACGTAAAGAAGCTATGTTCGGGGTAAATATTATTCTTGTAGTCTCCCCTTTGGCATCCGATTAGGATGATTAGGCGTTGCTGCTTCCTGCATTTGCAAGATATGGTGAATATAGTTTCGGTGAATGATCCAAAGTCACAGTTGCTAGTGGAGTGGTTTGGGATATTTTCCAACTTTGTAACACATCACAAAAACAAGACAGACAACGAAACATTAGTTGCGAGTACAAAACATCCAACAAATTGAAGTGAAGATCGGGTGCTGAGATGCTTACTTCTTTAAAGAGGAGTCACAAGTCGATAATTTCCTGTTATTGGATATACTAACTAGATTCCATCATCAGAATTTTTCTCAATCTACCTCGCAGTAATTACTTAGTTTACCGATAACATGGAGATGATAATATCACCGATTTCGGTCCATTTTGCGCATGACTGACTTTGTTTTCTAATTAAGTTAGCTACAAAATGATGTCAGCTTTATTCTCAAAGTGCAGCAGAAACATGAGCTTAATTTAAGATAAATGTGCAAAAAATAATTGTTCTCTTAATAGATATATAATGACAGAATTTCAAGACAAAGCTCAAATATAATGTATATATCATTTTTCACCTTATCCAAATGGACGGGGAACGTGTGTTACACGATTCAACAATCGGATCAAAAAATTCATGCTAGAATACTGAAAACAAATACAGCTTTTGGAACCTAAGCGTCTGCGAAAAAATTTCCCGACAAGGCACAGTAACTGAAAATGTGAGTAGCGCGGGCACATACAAGCGATTGATCGAAAACGAACTTCAGTTATGGGCAAGCGTGTCAAGGAGAACAGATCGGTCAACCGAGCAGAGTGCGCCTCAAAAACCCATGAAAACTGAAATTGTGGGTTGCTTATACGTATGGCGTTGTTCTAGCACCTGACGAAGTGTGAAGATTTGGTCGACGCATCCCCTACCAGGCCGGAATCCCGCTTGCTGCTCTCCAGTCAGTATTCACGAGTCACCGTAAGGCAAAATTGACGCCAACAGTCTCGTTACGACCGGGGTCAGGCTGACCCCGTCTGGTTACCACACTCATTACGAGCCCCTTTTTTGAAAATGGACAGTATCACCGACTCCTCCTGGTGGTCTGGGACAGACTCCTTTTCCCAAATGCAAGCAAGCGGATCAGACAAGTGCTGACTGAGGAATTCACCCCAACTTTGAACAAGGCGGGTGGGAGGTCATCTGGACCAGAAGCTCGGTGGCGCTGGCGTAAACCACCGAGGCTGTAGATGATACCACGTTCATCGTTCTGTTCTCTACGCCAACTGTTGGCTCCAGATAAGTGATAGTTGGTGGCCACAACAATTATTGCTCAAAGTATTCGGCCCACCGGTGGAGGCGTTCTTCTATATTCAAGATCCTTGATATTTTCGCTCACAGGAAGTTCCGGGGATCGGTTGTGCGGATTAACTGATATAATATTCGGGTATCACCGGCTTTCTGGGCCTATTCCATTTCCTTAGCATTCTGTGTACAGCAGACTTCACGGTCGGTTCGCACGATCATTTCAATTGACGGCTGGTGATTTGTCGCACCAGGTCATGTTGGGGACCAGTTGGGACATTTCTCCGAGATTTAAGCAGTGACACCATCTGGTCTGACATCCAGTGCTTGAGTGCCCCTGGTGGTGCCGTGCCACAGGTAAAATTCCTTGCACTATGCAAAGGGGTGTCAATGTCACCCCGAAATTAGCTCACATCTGATGGTGGAGCCTTTGGAAGACTCTGGAAGACGATTCTGGTAAATTTGTACAACATCCAGATCTGCCAGTCTCTCAATTGCCAAGCCATTTGTCTGCACTTTACGCGGCCCAGGAAAACGTACGGGGAAGCGACTTCGGACGGGTCGGAATCCACAAATGTGGCCCAAAACGACCGGCGGTCAGTTATTTATTCGCACCATCAGTGACTGATGGCCAGACGACTTCGGCTACTTCGAAAGTTAGTACTGCACAAAAACAGCCTGCGACCAGCACACGTACGTACGTACCGAGTCTAATCCATGTCGACCTCCTAATTGAGTCTCAGATGCACTAGGCCTGCCAACTTGTGAATTTGTATCTCCGGCAACCACCACGATATCTGAGATTTAGCTCGCCACCGTTAAAACCTGTCTTCGACGGCGTCGGAGCTACAGCCCGTTCTGGCGTAGGCAGACATGACAAACAGATATCTATCAACTTGCCATTTGTGAGACACCATTACAGACGTTGTCACACAAACCGCACAGAGGAGACTATCAACAGGTATCCAGTCAGGCAATGATACATCCGCCCGGTGACATGGGACGATACCGACCCCTGCACATTCCACTGCATCACCAGAGGTGCGTAACCGAAAGCGGGTGGAGACTGGTGGGACGGTTAGGTTGAATCTTGATCTCTTGTTTCTGAGACACTGCACACATCAATGTCAAGCGAGTCCAGAGTGAGAGCAAGAACAGCTTGTTGCCCTGCTTGTCTCAGAGCGCGGACATTGACAGCGGCTAAATAACTGGGTGTCGAGGCTTGAAGATTGATTTGGATACCTGAGTATGTCGGCGCCATGTGACGAGCATATGTTGCAAGCAAAACCGATGCAAGACGAACGGAGTCATCAGCACTAAGTGATGGACGTACAAGGAGAGTTAGTAAAGGAGTGGGAAGGGGAGAAGAAAAAGTATGCGACAGTGAAAGGAGGGTATCAACACAGTAGCCTGTATTCGCTTACCCGCGCTGCTGTATGCAGCAAGTAAGGCGACCCGGCTGATGGCACCACGCGACGGCCGATGTGGCATGAGTTTATTCGTGTATGCGCAGTTCATGGTTGTACGGGGGGCTGAGATACTGCTAGGGCGCCCGCACCTAGACAGGAAGACGATCAGGATCCTCAAAGAAAGCCTTTGATTCAAAAGCCTAAACGCAGGGCAGCCGTGTTTGGCAGGAAATGCAAATGCATTTTCATCTGTACGAAACAAGTCGCCATATGTTCAAACTCCCAACCTGGAGGGCCAGGAGACTGTGTTTGTCAGACCTCCAGCCATTGACCAACCTGCTATGAGGGACTCTGTGAGTGTCGTGATGTAGCTCAATGGATCGCTGAGGTGCGCAAACCTTCACACCACGGTAGGGCACAGTCTCTTCGTGACGGCAGCACCGAAAGCACTGGCAAGTGAAACTAGTTTGATTACATTATTATTATTACATTATCTTATTAGATTGTGGAAAACTTACTGGGAAACCCATTGACTTCTCTGTACACTGAAACAGAAGCAGAGCCACAGACCGTTCTTTTCAGCGCCACCTCATTCTGAAAGGAAGCCGATAGGAGGGGCAAACAGTGAAGACGTGCACTTAATGTTAGCTAATGCTCAAGGGTGTGCACGGCTGCTGAACAGTTTTTGTTAGATAGTTTTCACTCGAACATACACACCAATGGATATGCTAGTGTAGGCAAAAGGTGGTAACTGATCGCCAAGGAGGAGAACGTCCTGAAAATATTCGAGCAGCGGTACCTCTGGATGAACACAACATCATGGAGAAATTATATTTCACCGTGCCCATCCATATTTACAGGAAACGACAGCGAAAAAAAATGCCTCACCAAAATTTCTTTCTTGCCACCTAGTAAAGTAGTCAGCCGTTAATTGAAAAACACTTACTGTTAATAGCATAAAAGTTTGATTCACTTGAAAATCGTTCTACATGCTCGCTTGCCGGCATAAACCTCTCGTACCTCTTCACAAGCCGTTCTGCCTAATAACGGTACATCGGAGTGTTCACAGTTGGTTGGGTTAGCCTTATACAACAACTATCCCAAAAAGCCAAGACTGTATGTGAATTACAAAGTCATTAGCTTGAAAGATATCACAGCTATGCCACTGCTGCAACGCCTCAGAGAAGTCAGTCTCATATCGGATCAAATCAGATGTCGCCTTGAACAAGCTTTCACAACACGTCCTTGTTTGGAACACCGCTACGAGTTCCTATAACTTTTCCCTTTGTTGGCTTCCGTTTAGTGTTTGACTAAGACAGTGGGGACTCTCTGGTCTGTCTTGAAAGATGGTATCATTCCAGATAAGCTGCTGAATTTTGACAAATCTTACCACACAAGTATTTGGACAAATCCCCGCAAACCAGATTTCGAACTGTAAGAACTTCCCCTGTAGTCACGACCCTACACAAAATGACGCAGAGATACTGGAAGACAACCGGAAACATGACTGTCAACAGTTAGTGCATCACAATACGGAATAGAAGCTGGATAACACGATGCTCGGAACCTACTTGTGATAGTGCAACATGTCAGCAACAAATCTCACTAGTGTTGGAGCCGACTCATCTTGTTCAAGTGAAAAGGTTTCGTAAAGTAAGAAGGAAAGGATCTATGGCGAAATAATTACGGATCTTCCAATGCTATTCATGAGATCAATGAAAACTCCGAACAGTCTATCGGCTTGCCCTTCCTAGGGCTCACCAGATAGGTTTATTGCTCGAATGTCCATTAACCAAACTTGCTTCGATAAACATCCGCTTGCAGCTTGTTTTGATGTTTACGGAAGACTCCGATTAAATCAGCATCAATCTGTCGTATACTATCCCTCAAATAAACATGCTGTCTGATATTTCAGTTGGAGATACATTTACGATAGTGAAGCATGCTTCAATGCGCCTATAAGGTCGGCGAAAACTCTAGATAGCTCACTAAAGGTCCATCAGCGAATGATTCAGGCAAATTTCAATCGAGTTTTCTGTCAATGAATTCGGCTGCTGTCTCCTAGTGTTGTTTATCTGATGTTCGCTTTGTTCATTTTGGTCACTAGTTTGTACACGCGCCCCCCAATTTGGGTCGGTTTTGGTTTTCTCTCCGGTAGTTGGCAGGTCGGGCAGTCAACAGCATGCATAACAACCCGGGCGAAATTGTCACCATCGCATTTGAAGTGCAAACAAATAGGTTTATTTTCCCGAAGCAGCAGCAGCTGAGAATGAACCCTACAGGGATTGACGTTTACTTGACGTAGTTACTTCATACAATTTATTTCACCTGATGAGCCTACCGGGGAATGAACTGGGCTCCATTAAGAATGAGGTCAGAATCGATTTAGAAACCTAAAATTTATTAAGGGAAGCAAGCCCTTCCATTTTGGAACACTACGCTAACCAGCAACTGCTTCTGGATGTCTTCTGTTAGTGCAGCTCTTCACATACACCGGCCTCCAAACCAATATGCTGACATAAGTTTGACTCACGTTCAACATGTGGACAAAACAAAGACTAGTACTTCCGGTCTGAAAATACGAAACTGCTAACTTTAACCTCTTCCTCGATCAAACGAACCGTTGTGGACATGTCCACATTTGAAAAACTAGGGCGATTGAGAATAAATATAAGCAGAATCAGGGTAAGCTAGTCCAGGATGACCTCCAGCATCTATAGGTCAAGTTGATACCATTGTCTGGCTAAGGATAATCACACAATAAACGACTATAGTCTCAAGTGCAAGTTGGGGCGCACTCTTCACTTGCAATCATAGGTAGCGGCAACTGGAGAAGATGCGATCATCGACTTGTCGCCACGACTTCGAACACGTAGCAGCTGGTGCACTTATCTGATTTTTTACTTAATAGAGAGCGCAACTCCACGTACATTCCAGGTTGTTATGGTCGGCAAACGTTACATCAGCTCAGTGGCGAAGTCGCTGTTCCCCTCCACAGGCACAAGGACAGTGTCACACTCAACTGACCCATTCAACCAGCGCACAAATGAAACCAAACAAGCCAATCGGTGGGTGGTTCTCATCGAACTAAGCAGGCCTTTGTTGTCTTTACCAGTGTAACGGCGGATGCTACTGGTGATGAATGCGGTCTTCTCGAAGCTCCGCCCCCGTCTAATGAAGGAGAATTTGTCATGGAACTTGTGGGACTGCTTTGCAATGTCCGTTCACAATTGCGTGATAGTCAGTGAACATCCATGAAAGTTCAGGAAGACGCGTGAGAATGTTCAGTCCTTAAAAGCTATGTGCAGATAAGACATTTACTTTCCTATCCGATAGCTCAGTTAGTGCTTGGTTGGTGTTTGCTAATAAACGACTTCGCGGCGAAGGGCTTTCCTCGTTTCACCGGTAGCATAACAACCAAATTAGGTTTATCTCGCTATCTTCGTCCCTTAGCTTGGTATATGGGACTCACTTCACACTCCGTTACGGTGCTTCGCCGTAGGTTCGCTTCGATATCTACAGATGAGAGGTGCTGACGTTTTATAAGCACTACAACAAGCAGATCATCGACTTTCTCCAAAATAAACTCCCGAAATACTATTATACATGCTCAAGAAATTTTACGAATTTAAACCTTGGGCTGTTGTAACCTCAGAACATGGCGTGTATGAACCCCGTCTTTTTGGGTTGACACTGATTTGCGAGGAACTAAGTTTTACTACGTCCAACCGTGGCCAAACTCGACCGCAGTTTGTGTATATTGAAGCTGTGCAAATTCGGTTGTTGATCTGTTAAGTGAATTTGACGATTGGATTGCATACGTCCCGCTAATAATCGTCGAGACATCGTCCGCGCGGGAGCCAGTTTTAAAAATGGGAAGGACAAGTGAACTTTCTTATTATGGAGGAGTGGGTGAGTGGATGCATTAAAATTATTGGGCTGTTTTCAGGAGGGCAGTTAAGAAACAAGGTGAGAGGTATACTAGCTGAACCAGATGCTCTGGAATTGTTGGGTTCTGATTGGAGAAGGTGAACACCACCCGTACTAATAACCAGCAAAAATAAGTGAGTGGAACTTAACTGTCTGTCATAAAATGATCTTATCTCTAACTCTGTCATTCATAGACGAGCAGGTTCTACGTGCAGCAGTATTCCACGCGTTAATGAACTGGGATGCGTACGACAAGGTTTATAAGGTTTGTTTGTCTTCTTTACTATTCAGGCATGCATGGTTGTCATTATCGGGATTGTTATCTCCCTGGTTTGAAAAGGGGGTAAATGGGCACACGCTGCGCGCAAAACCATACGATCCTCGGAAACAACACTTCCGGGGATAATTGCTAAAATATCGACGCATGCTATCCCAAACGGTGGAACAGTATCCCCAGAATGTGACGAGAGGGGAACAGGGCCTATGAGGGAAAGTGGGTGGCGGAAAGTGAAAAGACAATAACATAAAGAACCGAGGGGTACAGGGGGTTACATCGTAATCCAAGGGATAGGAAGTGAAAAAGATCAGGACTTTGAGCAGTATCGTATCCAGAACTAGGGTTGAAAGGCAGGTAATTTGGCTAATGATGAGATAGACTTTGGCCTCATGACTCGCATGATCCATGCGAGAGAAAAACGGGAGCCACTCACCACTGTGGAATGAATTCGCTGAGAACTCAAGCTTCCACCGCAGGATCGGACTGAAGTATCTGTTCACAGTTAACGTTAACCCGGCGATGTTGAGACATACAGACCTTCCTAACCAGAGAGGTAGATTGGGGTGTGTGCGAATACACACCTGTTCACGACGTCTAAGATAGCCAGCCCTAGTCATTTCACTATCGACCGATGGGTAATTTTATTGCGCCCGTTTCATCACAAACCACAAGATTATCGTTGTATTCACAACATTAAACAGCCCCTAACCCACTGATCTATCTTGAGCCCGCTGGAAACAAGGCAGGCAAATGCATTGATTTCCACTCCAGAGAGGATCATATTTCTAGGAGTAATACAGGTAGCTCAAATCATACTGACTCAATTGCCTTGAATTCAGAACCACTGTAGAGTGTGCTATACAAGACTGAAAGTCAATCGCAGTGACAGCACTAATTCCTGAGAACCGCGCTTAAAATCAGCAATACTGCACGTATTTCTGGCGAACAAGCCATAAATCAATAAAATCTGATGAGTGTTAGGTGGCTGGGCAGAACTGGATCTCGTCCGTTCGATTTCGGGAACAGGGAATCATACACACCCAAGCGGTCCAGGGAAGTTTCGTGAACACGACAGAAAAAGGTAGGAACAAAAGTTAAGTCACCAGAAATAACCTGGCAGTAGCCTTGTTTGTTTAGGGAGGGTAGTGACGAAGAACCTAGTTCAATAACTATCGAGCAAAATATAAATGGTGTTTTGATGGGACGAAAGTTCTTCATTAACTGGAAAATGAAAGTTGACTTCTTGCTCAGCCTGATTTGCAAAAAGCGAGTAGAAATCCAGGGACAGTAATAAAAATAATAGTAATAATAATAGCAATGATAATAACATCCCATGTGCGAATCACAGTGGATGTCCCTGATTCTGACATCCAACAGTTGACAATTACATTATCTGAAGGCAAAACTACGCTAATAAATAACTAACTAAATGGTATGAGAGGAAAGATCGAGGGGCCGAATGCAACTCACTCGTCGCATTTCGTAGATCTGCAAGCACAGAGACACTACTGAGAGGACCACAATGCACAGAGCGTAGATCCAGTAATCCTGGGAAAACCATAAGGCGCAGCTGAACGCTTGGAAACAGTAGAATGGGTTGAGACACTGATTTGGAAAGCATAGAAAAGTAGAGAAGTTAGTCCAGTTCAGTGCCAAAATGATACGTTGTACCAAAAGTGAAGAATCAGGAGCGTCAGTCCTAGTTGCAAAACCACTTTCCTTGTACTGTCATCATCATTAGCTTTACACAGTGCGGGGTTTGTTGAGTGATTCAACAAAACTGTCCAAATGTACTTATTTCGAACCTTCAAAGAATTTAGGGGTCTGGCTGTTGATTGAGCCGTCTGCGGATTCAGTCCCCAGTAAATTCCCAAATGGTCTCGTCTAGTCTTGGGAAAAATAGCGAACGCCTAGCGCTCGTGTTTTGTCCGGGTTGCACGGTGCTCAAAGGGTTGATACACTTGATACCACTTGATTTTATTTTTCAAGGTCAGCTAACGTAAGTTTACGTGAAGTATGACTGCACAGTATTGCTAACCTCCTCCATGACATCACACTTGGTTCGTTATTTCCGACGGCCACAGTTAATGTCACAAAATACATGAATCGGGTGAGAAAGTACCGACCCACCTTTGTTAGCAGCATCTTTAGGATGGGCGTTAAGCGGATGACAATCTCATTTGGCTCATACAGAGCACGACGAGCCAACACAATGCGCTCTTGCAATGGCTTGGCGGGGAACAGTTTTGAGTAGGGGTGTTCGTTGCATTCACTGTAAATTTGGACGAAATTCAAGGAGGAAAGTAATGGATGGACAGATTTCACCTCATTGGCCTATCATATGGTTAAATGAAATGGAGCATTTTTTTCTTATTAGTGGACAACTCTCATTCTTTTCGCGATAATTCAACGGTAACTTAAGTGGATGAACTTTAATGCCCCAGGCTATACATAAACGAATGCCAACTCAACCCTACACCGACGATTTCAACGATTCAACAACCAAACATAATGACACATCCTTCCCATGCAACATCAGTAAGGACTATACGCCAAACCGATCTCTTGGAACTATTACTTAGTAACCGGACATCTGTCGACCAAACCCGAGTGCATGCATGGATACTTTTCAAACTGGTGATATTGTAACTCAGCTTGCGGCCCATTGACTGATAAGCCAAGCGAATTCACTGTGGTTCAAGTTACGGAGTTACTTTAAAGATAACTCGGCGCCAGGACACGACTGGGTGTACACGATGGCAACCCTTAGTGACAATCTAGCCCTCAAGAGCATGAGATGAGGATGATGCTATTTGAGATAACTTTCTAGCACGTTCAACTTTCACTACAACTGGCGAAAATGAAAACCCATAAATTTTCAGTGGTCTTTCAGCAAACCTCGGGAACTTTTCGAATGGACTTAAGCGCTAATCTTCTTAACTGATACACTGTCGGGCGGAACAGAAGGAATGAGTGGTGTTAGCTAATTTTCGTTGCAGCCAGTGGTGACAAGACAGAAGAAGTGGAATCTATTCGTCAATGGGTGTGGTTTGGAAACATTGAATAACTTATAAAATGTCATTGTATTTTTGTCTGATGATTTGAACGGGCCTAACAGGTTAACCACAGATTCCGAACACCATGCGGTGGTTCCTCTCTGGCAATCGCTAACCCGATTCTACTATCAAAGGAACATCGGTTGATGTTTCAAGGGGTTTATAATTCTGAAATTCAAGTAATAATACCGTGAACTGTACGCCAGTCATACTCCCAGTGAGTGTTATTAATATGATAAAAATAAGGAAACTTATTTTGATTAAAAGTTTAAGAAGTTGTAAACAACAAACTGATACTTTGAACTTTTAATTTGCTTGTACTAAGAACAGTTCCAGATTTGTATGGTGTTTATCTCGCATTTACTTCTTCACTATATCGAAAAATCTGATAGTTGCAAATGCTTTGAGAAGGAAACGAAAGCCTGGTTTCAACAACCACATGACATCTCACATTCCGACAAGGACAAATAAACCATGCCTACATTGCAGCCAACTGCTTATCACCATGTTTACATAATCAAACGCGATTCCAGCTCGCGTTTCTGTTGATGACCTTAATTACCCAGGATGTTGGCACGTCAGGTAGCATAGATAGTAGTTGGCTTCTTCACTGAGCTGTTGAGTTGAGTATCGGGCATTTCATCACTAATCGAGGTGGTATCATCAGTGCATCTTTGTGTAGTGGATCTTCGAGACGCGTCAGTGATCAGGCAAATGATTACTCAAGCATAGAATATTTTACGGTGAACATTCTGATGGCCACACAATAAACATAATAAATGACGTTTCGATAGTCCGTATATAGGGACAAATAACCGATACTTGAATATTGGTCAAGTACATAGCCAAAACCAGGTCAGTACACTTGTATGTGCGTGTAACACGCTGCGCTAATTTTGGGATTGAATGTTCCAAGTGCGGCCTGTGGTGCTCGACCCAGCTGGAAGGCAATCCAACGCTTTCAGACGCGTTGGCATACGCTGTCACACGAGTGACCACTGATTTTGCAGTCTATCCGTCGATACGCGCGTCATCAAAGTTTACCCGATGGTCCTAAGCTAAGGCATACAGCGCGGTCGCTGATTTCCCCGCTAGTTTGTTTGACGCGTTGAAGTTTCTTAGAGCTGCCCGTGAATATCGCCCATGTTTTATTAATTCAAACCTTAAAACTTCTGTTGTTTGACCCCCTATTAGGTTTAGGTAGCAACCTGATAGACTGAAGTCTTAATATAACCGCTCCAATAGAGAAACAGTCATTATGTTTGATGTTTCTTGTTCCACAGTGAACGTAATGAGGTTACATAAAGATGTATAAGGAGTTATCCACACAACCTACCTCCCGGACGACCACTGTTTCACCAACGTATTCCACCCAAACTCCGGAAGAGCTGTCAACATTGTGTAATGCGTTCGATTAAGAAATTTGGTATAATAAAGAATTCTTGTTGGTTGGCTGCAAAATCTGGCCACCAAGATCTCCACTATGAATCGACAACCCAAAACGCTAAAACTATCCCAACTCCGTCAAACTCACCTGCTAGATGACCTATAGCTAACAGATTTCCTGAGAAAAGGTGCTTTTCCGAACAACTCCTTAGACGAGCGGAAACATCTACATACATCGACCAGCCAACATCCTCAGTTTCAACCACTGTTAGGTTGAAATTGAGACACCTTTTCAAACGGCTTTTCAATGGTAACACAAAAGGAATAATCCATGTATACCATGCAAGAGTACGCCTTCAGGAAACGCGGCAAGCATACCCGGCAACCAACCGGGAATTCCAGTCAAACATTCTGTATAGAATGACCGAAGCCCCAAAGCAAGAAGTGTAAGGCAACTAAATATTGCATGAGCGGAAATCTCATCTTAAACGGATACGGAAGGGCTTCTCTTCAGAGATGCTGTGTGCATTAGCTCCAAGATGCTTTTGTCCCCTTCATACACCTAACGCGCCTCGAAAAATCAAAGAAATCCAATCCACCGGCTCCCTCGGAAAAGCAGCATGGCCCAGTCAAAATGGTGCGAGGGGAACCCCCCTCAATGTTTGTGATATTCGACTACTGTGATGAATTTGACAAGTTGAACTTCTTGATTTTCTGTTGATCTAGTGCAGCTGATCAGTGGCCACTTGATAGTCAAGTGGTGTTTACGATAACAAACAGATCGATGTAAAAGATCAACGACTACCAACGAGTTGGTATCGACCGCACCCGTGAGCACGCGCGTTTGTTCTTCTTTCAAAGAAATAAACAAGCTCGCGAACTTCAACTGCCTTACGTACGAAAGGTGAGGTGAAATTAGCTTTTACCTGAGGAGAAGAAACTGTGTTGTGGCCTGATTCCATGTGTACTTCAACTGTTTGTATATGAAGAAGGTAACCGTCGTCTCATCCTAGTGGAGAAAATCACTAAATGAAATAAAAGAAAGATTGAAACAAACCTCTGTGAACTGTTGTTCAGTGTCTTTGAAAAACTGGTTCGATTTTCGCACTGATACCGGTCCGAAAGTAACCCCGCTATAAGATATTAGCCAACGCTTTTGTTGCAGCATACCTATCTCCATCAATAATTGATTTCTTCACCTTCAGAACATAGTAGACTCCAGCAGGATCCTTGGTTAAAAAGTAAACGACGATATTCAGAAGACAGGTCTGAAAATCAACCGTATTGCACACTTACCCGTCAAGTTGTCGAGTCTAGTTATTCCCGATCTTATATATAATACGCTGATATGGATCGCTTTCGTGTCGGATGCTTATGAATGTTTACCAGAAGTTGCGTGCTCCAAATCCCCCAAAGCTCTGATGTAGATATAACGCCCATAATTCAAATTAGAGGAATGGAACAGCTGCGCATTATTTTTCACTCCTAAGCGCGTAACCACGCGTTTTGCAAAAAGAATCCTCAGAGCCTTTATAAGGCTTTCCAATAAGTTCTCACAAAGGTTACCCTGTATGTAGTGGTTTCAAAGGTATTCAAGTACCTGACTGATGCTGAACAGTGAAATATCGCATTATGGGTTCAAAAAGCCAATGGTTTCAATCCAACCCAACCGGTCTGCGGGTTAGAGATGCATGCTGGTATCCTGTACCGTGTTCTAACAAAGAACGTTGGCAAGGAAAATGCACTCTGCCTCATGACATCCTTCAAGGGTTGAACAATGGACAGACAATAGGGTCTTAACAGACACGCCTAAATCTCCCCCGCCAGTGTTCATTTGAATATACTAGCGTCCATATTGGTCAAACCACGCCAATTTCATGTTTCAAAATACTGATGTTTTGTGTACTGAAGCCTTCTTATGTGTCTAAAAATAATGCTCATATGTGCCCTTCATTACAATCATGACTTTGGAGTCAAACCCAAATCATGTATTTCTTTTGGTGCCGGAGTATCACATCACTCGTAAAGCTTACTTTGATAAGCACTTTGTCGGCTTCCCCCAAGGAGCACGGACGATGCGACAACCGCAACATCAGACGGGGAAACCAGTGCAGTATGAGCCAGAAAATTCCGCAGGTGAGAACACACGCCAGGTAAACCAGCGTTGTTTTCGTACACGAGAATTTGTATCCATTAATAGGCTGTAACAAAAATGATTGAAGAATAAAGAATAAACTTACGCAACTTGCGCCGTCTGGTTCATATATGAACTCATCCTGTTGTGTTAAATGTGCTTGAAGTCCACCGTTCAATTCCGATTTCTTCATAAAACGGATTCTGCTTAACTGATTTATTCAAGTATAATGGAAGGAGGAGAGATGATACTATTATTATAAGCAAACATTTGAAAACAGACCAGTGCGACTGATATACAGGAAGTAATGAAGAGTACCGAGTTCAAAACGAGTAAACACAGTCGGATTTGGATTCTGACTGATTGCAAAACTGGAGTTCCTTACGGAAATTCCGTGCGTCACGCATATGATTTAGTGTCACTAACAGTGACAACAAGTCAAATTACCTTGACCCGTTCGTAGGCACTGAGAGACAATCCAGAAAACACTTCGCACACCAATAACCTGCCACACCGAGCTTATCTTCTGATTGATAAAACAGCTGTCCACTAAGCTGCTGAACAGCACAACGCGACCGAGTTGGACGACTGGATTTAGCACAGGCATATGGCGAATGTTCTCACGAGACTTTTGAAAACTGGATATCCTTTGTCAGGGGAACTTCGGGTAATAAACGGTCTTCCAAAGTATGTGCCCTAACCAGCGTAATTTGTTGAGCGTGACTAGCCCGTCTATAATACATGGGGCACTTCTGAAAACCAGTTGACGCACATCACTGTCAAAAGCTACTCTAATATGAATAGAATGGCACATTTTCCGGTATTCGGCCGCTGTGTGCTGCTGCGTATGTGTATGTTGGGCCTTTCGCCTCTGAAGGTGATACACGTTGACAATGGCTGAGGCGAAAAAAGTGACCCGACGGTAATAGTAGCTTAGTTGAAGCCGACATTCCTCACCCACAGCTAAAGTCTGAAAATCGATGAGATAGTCACACGTAGTCCGAGACAACCTTTTTTGCAACTTTCGAAACTGCTTGTATTAAGTAGGTTATTCTCAAAAGAATACAAGAACATAAGTTTGCTCAAGATGCTTCAACGGTCTACTAACGGCTCTACCCAATGGAGGGCCCGATTAGGATGTGTGATCCTTCAACCTTTCGCTTAAAGTGGACACTAAATTTTGCGCTGTTTGAGAAATACGCCTATTTCAAACTATGTTATTATTAGCGAAAGAACCAACTGAAGCCCTCGATGATGCTCCCAACTGAATGTAGTGGGCTGTTGAAAAGTTTTCAGCAGTCCCATTAGTAGTGTATTGCTAGGAATAACATAGTAACTGAGATGGCCTTTGCGCGCCACATTCAGTTGACGGATACCATAAACGACAAAGTCGGCTGACTCTCTCGCTAACACGAACGTAACTGGCGAATCAGTGCATTTCGCCAAAATGGTCAAATATCGCTAAAATGGTTGAACTTCACACCTCTGTGTTAATGTAACAATCCCCACTGTTTTGCATGACGTGAGCTGCGAGCTTGGGGTATAACAGCGTTATACTGTGGCTACATTTTAAGCCGCACTGCCGACCATCCACGCGTGGCAATCTCTGACGGTACTCAAAGTCGTATTCGGAGTTTCGATGGGTCGAATTCACCTTAGGTGTTCGTGGGATGTAGTGTTAACGAACCCCAATAAGGATGAAACAACTGAGCAGTAAGTTTTGGCTTTTTTGTGCCGATCGGTTTTACCCTTCGGAGCAAATCCCACTTTGGAGCAACGTTGGGTGACTCCAGTTTCATGGGAATCAGCAGCTGCATGTGAGGTACCAACTCACAAATTCAACCGCTTAGAAAAAAGTTGTACTTTTCGTGCGACTAAATTTTCTTGCCAAAACAGAGGCGCTTTTCATCCAACAGTGTTTATAACAATGTTTATTTTCACGAATTTGTAAGTTTCAGAATATCCGAAGCTCTTTTCCTCTTAGCACCTCTGGCCGAATTTTCATTATGTACTTGAAACATTACCTCCCAGCTTCATCAGGGCGATAGATTAAATGGCAGCAGGAAGCTCATATGTGTTCAAATGTAATCAGTCTGATCTAGTAGACCATAAGACGAGTAAGTTTCGATCCCGACTAGTAAAATCTATAAACAACTAGAATTCTTAGCCGTAACACTCCTCTGTTGCACAGGAATCTTCTGGTATAAGTCCAAATATTACTGTTACTACATGTGAAAAATAGATTTACTCTGATTTTATAGGCTGACCAAACGTTCGTGTTATCTGTACTGGTGAGAAGATGGGAACCAGACAGAATATTCTATCCGCGAGCATTTCTCTACAAATGGAACTAACCATGTTTGTTTTGCCTTCATATGAGCGCTCAATGAAATTCTTCTCTCGGCAATCCTCCTTCACTGTTGAAACAGCAGCAGAATCTATAAATCACTAGTACCTTGTCACTACACACAGCAAGTCAGGAACAGCCTAGTATAGTGACAATTTTGGTCATCTTCAATGGATTAAAAGACAATGTGAGCTTCAATAAGCCTTCATTTAATCTATATGGCTAGGAAAATTAGCCTAACTGTCCCCTGCTGTGAAAATATGATTGCGAAGTTTCTGGATCTGAGGAAACGATCCATACCAGTTAAGCATAGACAAACGGGTAACGAAGACCAAGAAATCCGGGTAGTTTTAGATGTCTGTTGCCGTTCAGCAGGCTTTGTGAATTAATGGAGTATGGATGAAGCCGTCGATATTCAGGACATTGGCGAATGTACCCGGTCGTGGACGTTGTAGGTGGTTTCACTCGGATTACTCATCCTGGTATTCCCAGATTAATTTAAGATCAGAGTAGGTTGATAATATAAGCGCTCAACAAAAACGATGCAGGCAGGGAAAACGTGATCAATGAAGACTACAAGTAAGGGACGTAGAATTTCAGTCCATGGTCTATGAGGCCTGGCCAGTTTGGCCGAGCGTAGAGATCGCGGACTACAATTTAGGGATTCTGTTTCCTGGCTTTCAAATAGAGTGAAAGATGGTCCCTGTGGAACAATCTTTTGAGGTATTATAAGACCGACAGAAAATGCATCTATCAACAGTGATCGGTCTTACATATACATTCAGTACTACTTTTGTACTGTGCCGCGTCATTACCTGAGTCTCATTACCTGCGATTCATGCACTTAGTGCTTTTGTCAGAAGAATGGTTGCTGTGTGCGAATACAGATCTCTCTTATGACGACTTCGTAACGAAAGTGCAACTGAAGAACTTCAAATCATAATCTCAGCACCTTTCATGGCTTTGGTAGAAGAGGAATCCGCTAAAAGGGGACGGGGCTAGCTTTAACCCATGTAACAAAATATTCTACATATAATCACCTTTCCACTGGTTTTCGCAAGCGTCGTACAACTTGTTTCCATAAAATCATTATGACACTGCAGACAAAGTTTCTTTGTTGTAGCCTGATAGGGTGCACCACCATCCTAACTCCTACCATGAACTTTGAATCGTTAGGAGATACCAAGTGCTCTGCTCAAGAACTCTTCACCTGTTTTCTATAGAGGAGAATGTCGGTAGCTCAGGTAGCGTAGATGGTCGTTGGCTTGTTCGCTGAGCTGGGCAATTTGGTTGCAAACGTTTCATCACCAATCGAGGTGACATCATGATGAAACGTTTGCAACCAAATTGCCCAGCTCAGCGAACAAGCCAACGACCACTCTTCACCTGTTTTGAACGCAGAATTCTGTACATGCCGTCCAATAATATTATCAAAGAGAAGTCATTTGTTCGTTTTCAAAGTTCCGAGTGCAATGGAAACACTGATTACCAGAGTGGAAGTAAGAATTGCGTTCGATGTAAAACTTCAAAAATAAGACGGTATTTCAATTCAGTTTTCAAGAAAACACCGGCTCACAAGCAAACGTTTGAACCACTTACTGAAATGTAAACATGAACCCGGTCTAAGATTGGCTTCCGAAAGAGTTTATCAGTCAAACAACAGATGGGGTCATGCCCTATGTAAACCATTGGTCAGTAAACGAAAATGTTAATAAGTCGTGGAACGCACTTTAGTTTATCTCTTTGGTTCAAGCAAAAATGCCGAATCAGTTCAAACTCAACGTCTTTTGTCACAATGGAGAATCAAACCTTGGGATTGACAAGAATCTGTAAGCAAAATACTATATTTCCTCATAACGAGACAAATATTCAAAGTTTTGCCATTTAGCTTGTGCAGCAACCCGAACATATTTATTACTTGAATGTAACCTGGGCGCACAACATATGTAAGCATATCAGTAAGCACGTTTTATTGAATTTCTTGGGATAAATTCAGATTTGGTCTTGAACTTGGCTCATCCGGAGTGGTTTGCCCTAGAGGTTCCGGATTCTATTGGAACCCTTTTGGGCAGACGACCTGAGAGACAAGCGACCTTCGTTTTTGGTCAGAGTTTGTATAATCTATGCCATCGCTGGAGAAAAGCAGCGATCGTCTGCCTAAAGTTATTTCGCTAGTAGACCTGGAAATTTGAGATAGTATTTTAATCCAACTGTGAACGGACCAGTCCGTGTTTCAGAGCAATGATCACGGTTATTTATAAGACTGTATAGCTGCATAGCTGTATAGCTGTCATTCTGAAAGCTTATTACCCCGAGTGGTTTTCACGGAATTGAAGAAAGCCAAAGGCCGCTGAATGCTTCAAAGTTTGGGCCGGCTTTCCTACTACTCTTAAGAATCGTAAACTGAGTTTCTCGGTACGCTTAAACCGGTCCCCAAACATTCGGTGGGCAGCCACTGCAGGCTTGAGAGTTTATTGGCACTGAAGGATTCAAGAAAGGTACCTAGGGAGACTGTTCCAAACATGAGGTGGTAGCTCTACCACCACCACGTTTTATGGTACCGTGACGACTAAGCGTGACAGAAGGAATGTGAATTCGAGAAGATCAAGCGGGATGTCGACCGCCCGACCAAAAGCTGTCGTCTTGTAGTAGTAGTCAGGCCATAGTGCGGCAATGATACAGCTGGCTATACTGGCTAACACACAATTCCTTAAGGTTCAACCATGCCAGGAAGGCCGACAACGAACGTCAAGTCTCCGTACTGCGCGAGACTTTGTTGTGAGTCATTCTGGAGGTACCATCCTATTGTTTTATTGTACTGTCCTATGCGATAAAAGTGCGAAGGG